TAATAATTATTAAATTGAAATAATTATTGATATGTTAGAAATTGAACAAATGTTTATCATTTTACTAATAATATTAATATATTAATAATAGTATTTCTATTAAATTTAATTGAATGATTTCAGATTATGAGTATTGTTAAGAGCATCCAAATAGTAAAATTGGAGGCATATATATGGTAAAGCATAGAAGCAACATTCAGAGAAAAGTTTGTATGGAATGTATTTTAACACATAAAATACCATCAGAATAAATATTATCTAAATAAGATTTCATTAAAAAAATACAAGAAAAGTCCACTTTGTTAAACATCAAAAATCAACTAGAGTAGAGTTAGTCAAAATTAATATTGAAAAAAGCTTTGCAGCAATTTGATTATATTTAAGAAGAACTTACTTTGATTTTAATCAACATCAAGAATTCAATCAAAAATATTTCTGAATATTAGGTAGCTGGAGATGATCAATTTTTAAAACTCATTTTTTAAAATTTAGATCCTGCTGAGCGTTCTTAATCAGAGTTAGATTTTCTAGTACATTTTATAGAAGGAAATGTTTTTGAGAAATGGATTTAAAAAAAACAATAAGTTTCTTCATAACTCTAGAAAGCGTAAGAAGTTTTTGAAAGACATGTTTAGAATGGATATAAGACAACTTAATTAATTGATGAAATTCAAAATAATTTTTAAAGTAATATTTTTATTTTAAGTTCAAATGAAAAAATTGAAGATAAAACTATTGACATGGAAGGATTAGAGAAAGTCAACAATAAATTAGTCAAAACAACTTTTTAGCTCACTACATAAAAAAATGGAGATAAAGTCTATAAAAAAAATACATAGATTCTTAGAATGTATACAATATTGTGAAAATGGTTAGAGAAAAGAAAACTTTAGGATAAAAAAATGAAGAGGCATTACTTAATTTAGAGCAGATGAAATATTTAGAATTTAAAGGATCATATGGCATAAAGGGTTATAAAATTAAATAATGGAATTATTTTTGGAAAGGATAAAATGTTGGAGGAGGTAATTTCAATCTAAAGGGATAAAAGGAAGGAAAGTGGTTTGATTTATGTTCAAATTATTGGGAGTATTGAATAATTATAAATAAATTAATTAGCAAGAGGAATATAATTGAATAGGGTTGTTATGAATCGGATAAAAGAATTGGTGATTGGAGTATAAATTGGAATAATTAAAGAATGTAATAATATTATGAAAAAAAATAATTAGAGGAGGAGGATCATATGACAAACAAGGAGAAGGTAATAAAATTGGGAACTGGATAGAGCTAAGCGAAGATTATAGCGAAAATTTTTTAGTAATGTATCATGGTGAATATGTGAATGGTAAAAAAATTGGTAGATGGGACATTTATTATTAGAAAGATAGGATGTAAAAATATATAATATTATCGAATAACAATTAATTTTAGTGGCGGAGGATTATATGATGAAACAGGGAATGGATTAAAATTAGGTAATTGGGTTGAAATAATGGATAATTTTAAATTGAATTCATAAGTAATATTTAGTGGTGAATATAAAAATGGTATAAAAATTGGTAAATGGGATATTGAGTATAAGTAGGAGAATAAATCCTTCTTTAAAATGTAAAAATATTATAAAAATTAATGACATAGCGGTGGAGGATCATTTGATGAAGCAAGTAATGGACTTAAATAAGGTAATTGGGTTGAAATAACGGATAATTTTGATAATTATTCTTAATTAACCTAATTTGGCGAATATAAAAATGGTAAAAAAGTTGGCAGATGGGATATTTATTTTGAGAAAGGAAAGATGTAAGAATTTAATATTACTGTATAAAATTTATCTTAGAGGTGGAGGATTATATGATGAAATAGGTGATGAATTTAAGTTGGGTGATTGGGTGGAAATATCTAATAATTTCTCCTTATTATCTTAAGTAACTTACAGTGGCGGATATGTAAATGGCAAAAAGGTTGGAAAATGGGATATATGGCATAAGGAGGATAATGATAACAAAAAGATGTAAAATTATATTATTTAGTTTGATAAATAATTATATTATGAAAAATAATGTGTATTAGTGGTGGAGGATTATATGATGAAACAGGGAATGAACTCAAGTTAGGTAATTGGGTTGAAACAACAAATAATTTTAAATTGAATTCATAAGTAATATTTAGTGGTGAATATAAAAATGGTAAAAAAGTTGGAAGATGGGATTTTAAGTATAAGAAAGACAATAAACCTTTCTTTAAAATGTAAAAATATTTAAAATGGTGATATAGTGGTGGAGGATCATATGATGATTCAGGCGATGAAATTAAATTGGGTAATTGGGTTGAAATTATGGGTAATTTCAGGGACTACTCTTAAGTAACCTACAGAGGTGAATATAAAAATGGAAAAAAAGTTGGTATATGGAAGGAAATGAAGAGAGATAATTTGAGTATAAAGGAAGAATTTATAATAGTATAAGAGATTAAATATGATAATTGAAATTAAATAAAATACACATAAATAAAAATAATTAAAATTTTAAGCTGACTTTGATTTATATATGTTTCATTTTGATTTAGTTGATAAAACTACTTCATTTTAATCTCGACAAGTAATTTGATAATAAAATAATAGGATAAGTAATTGAATCTAATAGAAATCCTTTGAAAAAATTTAAGAAAATAATATAAAAAAATGGAAATCAGAAAACTGGAAAATATTAGTGGATGGTGCTAAACATTATCAAATAATATTTTATCATTATGATCTAATTAAGTTTCCTCAAACCTAATGATTGATTTGAAAATTAAATGGATTTCATGGAGACTCATATTAATAGATTTTTAAGATTTTTTTTCGGATTAAGTTGTAGCACACTTTTTAGAAAAATTGTTGGATTAATAAATTTTTAAGATCTGGAAAATTAAAATTCATAAGGTTTTTAAAAGTTAAATTGTAACAATAAACTTAATTCGTAATACATTATTTTGATTCTTTAACTTATAATTAATTATACAGGAAATAAAAGTATTTAATAATAATATTTGAGATAATAAAAATTATTATCACTTTTATTCCAAAATTGTTAATAATAGAGATTATAATGTCATGATTCACTATCAAATTTTGGTGACCATTTTTATGTGTTTTTAATAAGTTCAAGTAAAATTTATGATCTTGTTTTAAATATAATAAGGTGAAATAAATTCATAATTATTTTGACTCTTGTTTCCAAAATGATTTAAAAGAAATACTTATTTGATTTATAATTCACAAAATGACTTCATAATTGAAATTTATACATTCAAAATAGTTTTATTATGCTCAAATTGGATTGATCTTCATAATACATTTGACAATATATATTTTTATTGTTGACTACTTCTCTCAATTACAAATCTGAGGAAAATAATAATTCATTTAGACACTCTAATTAAATAATTAAAATTTAAATTAAAAAATAATCAGCAGTTCAATGTACTTATTATAATCTAGAAAATGAATATTAAAGATATTAAGAATTTTATAATCATTACTTTTTGTTTTATTTAAGTTTTAAATAATTATTATAAATTATTAAATGAGAGATCAAAATTAGAATAAATACGAATTTAATTTAGAAAAATATTTATTTAGTTTACTTAAAGCAGATTAATTATTTGATTAAATGTAAAGTACCTAGATCTATGATTATATAAATAGTAACTATAATTAAAGCAAATAATAATGAGTTATGATTATAATACTGAGAATAAATTACTCTTAACATTAATTTTGTGAATATTACTTAGCCGAACTTTTACCTCAGATATTAAATAGGCTTTGAGAATAAGAGATAGTTAGTTAGTGCTTGCTAGTTTTCGAATAAATAAAACTTGAATGAGAACTGAATTAATTTATAAATCTAATTAAAATGATGCAAAAAACAAATTAACTTAAAGTTTTATTTTTCTTAACCATACTACTGACGAGAAAGATAAGGTATAAATAAATTTGAAAATAATTATGATTAATCATATCAAGTTTTACAATCTTATTTGGTATAGAGATAATTAATAAATAATACTAAAAGGATGATAAAATCCATTTAAAATATTCTCTCAAAAGAAATCAAAATATATTAGATAGATAATCTTTAATATGGTGTTTATAAATTAAAAGTCTTATGAAATTGGTTAAGAAGGTAAATAATATTTGCTAAAAAATATCCGATTTTTTTAGTCATCACATATTACTTTATTGTTTAGAGATTAATTAGGATTACCTTATATACATATTCAACTCTTTATCAAGCTTTAGATTATCATATTTAGAGATATGATAGAATTTTTGAACTATATATTTTAACTTATAATTCATTATAATTTAAAGTAAGCTTCAACTTTTAACACATGTAATTCCTTATTGTAAGCACAATTTTTATTATTTACTTATTGATATTACC